CAGCAAAACTTAGTTCCTTGGCTGATGTCAGTGCTGCCAAGTGCCCATTATAATCCCTACATCGGGACTCGGATTCATCCCAATAACTGGAGTTTTCTATCAGCCCAAAACACTTGCTCTTATTTGGACTGATTACCCAATCATCAGGGCAAAGTGACTTATTTGAGCTGATCTCCCAACTAGTATGGCAAAGTGCTGCTGATTGATAAGCCCAAAGGGCCTGATTCTTATCCTCAATCTTCTGGACCGCAACCATTTTCCTGATCAACCCAACGGGTTCCATCTGTCGGAGTTCGGCCTGGATATCTGGGCGCAACCCATTCACAAAGGCTGCTTCAGGGACTGATTCTGGCAGGTCACGTAAGGGGGCAGAAAGCACCTCGAAATGGCGACAATATTCCTTGACAGTAGTGGATTGACGTAATGATAGAAGCTGGTTCTGCAAGTTTCCCTCCTGAGTTGATCAAAAACGTCCGAGGAGTTCCTTGAATTCTGCCCAACTTCGAAAAGGTCGTCGACCATCCTCCCAATAATACCATGCCAATGCATCACCCTCTAAACAGACCACTGCTGCCCGCAGACATTCCACCGGAAGCAAGCCATTAATCTCAAAATAGCGCTCTGCGCGAAACAGCCAGCCGTCTGGATTTTCCTCATCAAAAATAGGCAACTCCAACTTCCGAGGAAGTGAATCAGAAATACGTTCCGGGACTGTCATTGAAGGGGACGTCGGAACAGCTGCACTCTTCTCTTTGTCAGCCGCACGACTTGATGCGGATGCAGGAGGAGCATTGTCAGTTGTAGTCAAAGGAGCTGACAAGGTCTGTTGCTGAAGCAACAGATCAAATCGTCTTACCAAGTCTTGAACGGCTCCTTCCAGAGACGAGATCTTCGAAAGTCCAGCTGCTATCTCATCACGTAAGCCATCCATCTCCCACGAAATTCAGAATGCAGAGAAGTCAAGCGTTCTTCGAAACCCTCCACYTGCGATGCCACTTCCTTGCTGTCACTATGGCCGAGGAAAGACGCGCTCTGATACCACTGTTATGACCCAGAAATTTGACACGCAGTTCACAGACTTACAGCAGCGTTCACACACTCGAACATCAACAAAAGAGACTAGTATTCATTCAGCAG